TACTCCATGACCACTAAAGCAGTATTCCATACTGATGACTACACCTCATTTTTAAATCTCTCTCTTCCCTTAAATTTGATAACACCACACTCTTTCCCTCCTAGCTCCATAATGTTTCTTCTCTGTCTCTGCGGGATCTTCCTCATCTACCTACCATTAAATATTAGAGCGCCTCACATGAAAAGATGGTCAACATCACTAATTATTAGGGAAATGCCAATCAAAACTACAATGAGATATCACCTCACACCCATAGGAATGGCTATAATTAACAAGACCGGAAATAACAAGTGTTGGAGAGGATGTGGAGAAAAAGGAACGCTCGTACACTACTGGTGGGAGTGCAAACTGGTGCAGCTGCTATGGAAGACAGTATGGAGATTTCTCAAAAAATTGAGAATAGGTATACCATATGATCCAGCTATTCTGCTACTGGATATTTATCCAAAGAATATGAAATCAACAATTCAAAAAGATTTATGCACCGCTATGTTCATCACAGCATTATTCACAATAGCCAAAACATGGAAGCAACTCAAGTTCTCTTCAATAGATGAATGGATAAAGATGTGGTATATATACACATCTACTCAGCCATAAAATAAGACAAAATCTTATTTTCATTTGCAACAACATGGATGGACCTTGAGGGTATTATGCTAAGTGAAATAAGTCAGACAGAGAGAGACAAACACTGTATGATTTCTCTCATATGTGGAAAATAAATGAACACATGCATAAGGAGAATAGATTAGTGGTTACCAGAGGAGAAGGGGTTGGGAGGAGGACAAAAGGGGTAAAGGGGCATATATGCATGGTGATGGATAAAAACTGGACTATTGGAGGTGGACATCAGGCAGTCTATACAGAAGCTGATATATAGTAATGTGCAACTGAAATTTACACCATGTTGTAAGCCAATACGACCTCAGTAAAAAGGTAAATATATATGTGCCCAAATCAAAGTTTAGTCCTAGGCCCTCTTTTATTCTCAGCCTAATTCCTAATTTCACTTCTACTGATAGTTTCAATTGCCCTGACAAATGTAAAATTTTTATCTGTCACTTGCCTTGCTCTCATCTCCAGACGCACATGTCCAATCATTTATCTGATGTCTCTACTATTGTCTTACAGTCACTTTGTAGATGACATATCCAAAATTGAATTCATGATCTTCTCTATAAATCTACTCTTCCTCTATTATTTTTAATTAACGGCCTCATCAAATATCCAGTTTTACAAATCCAATGACCTTGACAACTTCTTCTTCACTCATATATATTCAACTATCAAATCCTAACAGTTTTGCCTCCTAAATACCTCTTGAGTTTGTCCACTTCTTTCCGTCTCCACTGCCAAACCCCACAACCCTACCAGCTCTCTTGCATAGATAAATCTATTGCTCTCCTAACTAGTCACCATAAATACTATTTCCCTCCTCCAATCTTTCTTGACCCTACAACTAAAATGATCTACTTAAAATGCTTTAAGGCTCTAAAGACAAAAAAGCAAATTCTTAACCTGTCCTGTAAGGCTTTATACAGTTAGCTTTGGCCTTCTCCCGAATCCTTGTCTCAGGCTGCTTTCAAGTTTGCTCTTTGCGTTCCAGCCACCCTGGCATTCTTTTATAATTCATCAAATGAAATGTTCTCCTTTCCATTCCAGAGCCTGTGCTCTAATTGTTTGGAATGTTCCATCTACTTGATTGTACCCCGTCACTTCTGTCTAGTTAACTCCTATTCATATTTGCTGTTTGACTCAAATATCACCTCTACTGAGAAGCTTGCTCTAGGCTGTCAGAGAATAGAATACTAATTGTATTCTTTTAGCACTCTAGATTCTATTTCAATTGTAACTAAATAATTAGTTTTAAAATGTATGGTTCTCCAACAGACTGCAGACTCTAGGAAGACAGGCACTGTGAATCCTCATTCATAACTATCTTTTCAGTTCCTACCGCAATGCCTTGTACAAAGCAGACATTCAATAAATATGCGTTGAATTTGAATATATCAATGTAAAAACACATATGAGCAACACAACCATCTGAACAAGCTGGTGTATTTCAGGAATGCAAAGATGGCTCAATATCAGACAATCTATTAATTTAATACATGACTTTAACTTATTAAAGGTATAATCATATATAGATATGACAAAAAGTCATTTGATAACTTTCAGCTAGCCAAAAATGTCTTAGTAAATTTGAGAATAAAATCAAAAGACACAATATGATAAAGAATATATGTCATAGATAACACCTTTTTATGTAACAGGAATATACTAGACACATTCCTATTATAGTAAGGAACGAAAAGTAATGCTTATGTTG